TTCATTGACTGAATAAATGTTTAAAAGAAAAAATTATGATTTTCATACTCTATATAACTAGAGATTAATTTTCACCACTAATTCCTGATGTGTATTTATTATGTGCCGTCTGTATAACCTAAATCTCATTATGCAGCTGTCAAGGACCCAAAGGAGGAGTGGCTGAGCAACGATCCTGAAGCATTATAGGAACACATTTCGGAGATGTGAGCTACTTTGTGTCAGAATGTTCTTTTTATCCAACATTCTTTCAGGTTTTACAACAAGAATAAAGAAAGCTCAATTTCTGCTACGTGCTTTAGAAAGCTCTGGAGGGAAAAAAATAGTGTTTTACCCAGAAAATGGCTACAAAATACTTGCAATATCCTTCTAGAAAATTATCTACAAATATGGAAAGGGAGTCGTGGTGCTCACAGCCTCTGTGCCCCTGGGGCTGGCTGAATGCCACGGTTGTAACATGGCTGCAGATGACGTATGCATTTCCCAAGGAGAACAAGGGCCCTGTAGTCGGAAATGTTCAGATCCTGCGCTGCAATCCAGCATTTGTATTTCAAGTTCACAGGTTTCAAAAGGCACAAAAGTGGCCAGCAATCAGAGGAATCCTAAGTCCTAGCAGGAGCTGGGAACCCAGAGACACATGAGCAAACCCAATGTGATGGGTCTGCTGCATTTGGATGTAGTCTGATGACATCCCTGGAGGTTTGTATGTTAGATGCTATGGGGATGTGAAAGCGTGTTTTAGTTAATTGTCTGTTGTTGTGATAAGGTGCCATGACAAAAGTAGCTTATGGAAAGATGCGTTTTGGCTCACAGTTCAAAGTACAATCCATCATGATGGAGACATCAGGGTGGTAAGAGCTCAAAGCAACTGCTCACTTTGCACACAGTCAGGAAGCAGAGCGATGAATGTTCCTGCTCAGGCTCTTCCTCCTTCATACACAATCCAGGACCCCAGCCCAGGGAACAGTGCCCCTCACCCTCAGTGTGTGTCCTCTCAGTTCATAATCTAACCAACATAATGCCTCACAACCATGCCCAGATGCTAAACAACCCCTCACTGGTTGCCTGGAGCCTGTCTCCTAGGTGACTCCAAGTCCTGTGGATGATAACATTGATCTTCATGGTGTGGCAATGTGGACAAGTGGGGCCTTCAAGAAGAGGAGCCTAGTGGGAGGTTGGTAGATCATTGGGATTACTGCCCTTGGAAGGTACTAATGTAGTTCTTAGGACGATTGTTATGCAAGTGAGCATGACCCTCCCCTACTCTCTGGCTTCCCTGGCTCATGTGATCTCTCCCTCACACACATGATGCCCTATCATCTGAAACCATGTGCATGGCTATGGCAGCTCTAGGTAGAGCCAGCACCATGCTACTTTGCTGCTCCCCTCTAAAACTGTGAATTACATAGTTCCCTTCTCTTTATATATGACCTAGCCTCACATATTTTGTCATAGCAAAGGAAAACTGTCTAATACAGAACCTTTGTGATTTGGAGGCACAGACACTTGGGAGCAAAAGTAGAGCAAAGATGATGAAGGATGTAGGATGAGGGAGGATGTGGGATGAGGGAGGATGTAGGATGAGGGAGGATGTAGGATGAGGGAAGGTTCATGTAAGAAAGACAAAAGAAACAGGCAGAAATGAGGTCGTGGGAAATAACATCAGCATTGCAATGACGTTCAGAGAAGAGCTTCTTAAATATTCACAGGCAGGGTCTTGAAGAGAGGGAATGCATGTAGAAAGGATTGGTGCCCAGCATGGCAATAAGACTTGTCAGTGAGCAAAACATCAACACAACTATAAGACAAGGCTGTCTCAGGGAGAACAACACATTTGTTCGTCCTGTGATTAGAGAGCAGAGGGATTACAGTCAGAGTCGGATGGTGTCTCAACATGAAAGTGAAAACCCGAGTCCAGTAATCCCAGCTCAGCTCCAGGTGGACCGCAAGCCCGGAAGAGCCCCGATGGAAAGACTACCGTCCTTAAATACCCTCCCAGACCACAACTACCCGCGTTGAGCACGTCTTCTTAGGCCACAACTTCCCTCCGCTCAGAAGTACTCCATTCCATTTTCCATTTTGCTCCGACCTGGGGCCGATCAAAATCTAATTTTTAAAGTAATTTCTTTTTACAGGTAATGCACAGGTTTTGCTTCGTGCCTCACAAACAAGCTAACCTGCTGCTCTCATAACTGCAAATATGCCCTAAGTCTCAAGACCGCAGTTTTTAACCAGGCTCTTGGGGAACTGATTGAAGTCTAACCTAACTCTTCTGGTTCACTGTCCTCTCCCCTCACTGGACTAGAGCAGGGCCCCACCCACTGGCTTCCTCTTTCGTCACTTCTTTTAGTTCTTTCCACCAAGCTGGTCATTCATCAGCACACTCGGCATCTCCTAGCCGCCATGGTTCTCCTGTCTTCCTCTTCATCCTTGGCAGTGTATGCAGGTTCCCTTACTGCTGTTTTAGAAAGCTTCGACGGAAGGATAGGGGAGCAGTGGCCAAGTCCAGGTGTCTTGCCTTCCCAGCCACACCTGCAGCCCCGGTCGTGATGGAGAAAGCGGCCTCTGTGTCGGGGCAGCAGACAACTTCTCCACAGAGCACTGGGATGCATTACACGGAAATCTCGTCCGCTCCCCCACTATGTGGTCCGTTCCTGTAAATTCCTCTCACATCAAGATGTGGCTTGTTTGTGTAACTTTATCCACCGGGAACATATCCATTTGCTTTGGATGCAGGCAAGGGAATGTTGTACCTTTGCATACAATCTGCTAACATAGGGCAATATAATTATCACTTAAGTGGAACTGCAGTCATGCCTTTGATGAGGAAGAAAAAGAATTTCTTTTGGGAAAAACAGCACTGTAATTCTTGGAGCCCTTTGCAGCTTAAACCAGCTATAGGGTAACTCAGGAAGTGTGAAGGCTTCTTGCTGGGTCTCCATTTATTGAGAAAGGCATGGGACTGACCCAGAGTTCTATCCCCAAAGTATCAAGCAAGTAAAAGATGATGTTTCTAGATAGAGTACAAAAGATTGTCCCTTCTATATTGCAATTCAACAAGCTACTAGGAAATGAGGGAAAAGGCAGAAAAGCCACGTTTAAAAGATGTGGGCTCAGAGTGAACTCAAGAACCAGACTCCTCCATAGGAGAAAACCAACGTGAACTCCCAGAGTGACTGACAGATGCTGGTATTGTGGTGACTTTGGCATGCCCTCTCTGGGAGCTGTCACTGGAGGAGCTCTTGGAAGGCTGTGGAACGTTCAGTGGTGGAGACTCACTGGAGTCAGGGAGGTGGGGGTGGTCCGTGGGCTGAGGTGTTGTAGCCTGGCCCTACTTCCTGCTCCCTCTCCTCTGCTTCCCAACTGTGGAAGCCACGTGCCCACCACCTCACTTCCTCCTGCCTCCATGTTTGCTGCAGCATGGTGGACTGCACTCCTTCTGAAACTCTGAGCCAGAATAAACCTTCCTTCTCCTCCCTCAAGTTGCTTCTTGTCAGGTAATTTGACCACAACAGTGAGAAAAGTGACTGACACCAGGATCACAACTTCTCACTTCAAACCTTCACACTGGATCTGAAGGCGTGCTCCCAGAAAAAAGTTTCCCAGAAAAATACCCGTGTTCAAAGACCCTGGTGTGTCTGAATGCATTAAGAGGGGAACTGGGTCCTGCTGGAGAAACCCAAGGGTGAATTAGTAACTGTGAAAACTAAGTAAACAAAGAACAAACTGATTATTCATTTCAGGAAAACAGGAAGCTATAATAGGAAAAAAATAAGGACTCAATATACATATGGTTCAGCTGCAACCAATATTTACACAGTCAGAATAATGTGAGGTAGGTTTCAAACGCTCATTTAACGCAGCTGCAATATCAGTATATTTGAAAAAATGAAGAGCAGATTCATGACTTGCAGTGTTAAACACCTGTCTGAACCTGAAAAATCATTCTATATAAATAGATAATTTAAGAGCCTCGATCTGAATATCAGAAGAAACAGCTTGAACAGGGACATAACGGGGTGGGGGCCTGAAGAGATGACTCAGTGGTGGTGCTTAAGAACACTTGCTGCTCTTCCAGAGGATCTGAGTTTGAATCCCAGTACCCAGTCAGGGGGCTCACAACCTTCTGTAACTCCAGCCCCAGGGGATCTGACACCCACACACCTGTGGTATGCACACATATACATATAAAATAAAAATAAAATGACATGTCTGTCTGTGACTGTCCACAGGTTGTTCCATTCCCCCCCGACCTCCATACACACATAGGTGGCTATCCTCGTGCCCAACAGCACCTTCCATGTGGAGAGAGTACACTGCATGTGATTCTCACTCTTGACATGGAACCTTGTAGAATTCTAGAAGATGCAGAAGTGTCACCACCAGAGGAAGGCAGAACACGATATAGAAGTCCCATCTGAACTGACCGCTGCTGGGTGAGGGAGAGCTGTTCTTCTTTAAGGCAGTGACACTAGATAGGCTGACTAGGCTCCTGTGGATGGACTCACACCGACTCACATCTGGGAATTCAATCTTTACTCCATAGGCTTAATATATATGATGGAATACATGAAATCCGGTGGAGGTGGGGGCTATGGGGGAGGACAGATAGGGGAAGGGTTCTAAATATGAGTAAGACAAATTATATGAAATGCACAAAAATTCAATAAAGAACAGTAAAAACAATATATGGGGGAAGGATGGAAAGTAGTTGTAGAAATCACACTCGGGATGCAGACATGGGTGGAGAAATTCTGTCTGCACAGGCTGCAGACAAAGATGTAAACATCTCACCTACAGAGGATGCAGAGGACGGTGTAGAAGTCCCACCTGTGAAAGCCGCAGAGCAGGCTAGCAAGCCCACCTGTGGAGTCTTGGCAGTCAAACACTTGAGGCTTAAGAGGAAATTTCTGATTAGAAATGTGCAAAACTGTTGCCCTAACTTCTTGTTCCGCTCAATCCCAATGCTGCTCTATGATTGAGCATTCTTTAAAACTTACGTCCAGGCTCTTTGACCTTCCTCCCCTCGGATGGTAGCCATTGGTAGCCATTGGTAGCCATTGGTAGCCATTTTAAAAAGAGATCAATCAGAACCACCTCAGGTACATACAAAAATACTGTCTCTATAAAATACTAGATTTCATATGTATGTGTGGGTGGGTGTCCATGTGTGAGCATGTGGAGGCCAGAGGTCGATGTTGCGTGGGGGCATGGGTATGTGCACGTGTGTGTGTGTTGTAGGCACACACACATGCAGGTTCGTGTCTGTGTGGAGGCCACAGGAGGATGTTGGGTGTCCTGTTTATCTCTTATTTCCTTGAGACAGGATCTCTCACTGAACCCAGAATTTTATTTTTACCCTCCACAGTGCAGGAGTTACAGGTGTGTGAAGAAGATTATTCCAAACTGGGATCTGAACTCAGATCTTCATGCTTGCACAGCAAGCATTCTTAACCATGAGCCATTTCCCCAGATCCTTCTACCTTATTTTTTGAGGCAGTCTCTCACTGAACCTGGACCTCACCGATTCAGCTAGACTGGCTTTCCAGCAAACTCTAGGGATCCTCCTGTCACCCCAATGCCAAGATTATAGAAACACCAAACTTTTACATGGGTTCTAGGAATCAAATCAGGCCTTCATGATCACAAAGCTTTACTAGCAGAGCCATTTTCCAGTATGAAAATACTACATTTTTTACTAAAATGATCAACGGCCATCCAGTTGTTCATAACAGTTACTCAAAGCAAACCCACAGAACTCCTCCATACCCAAGTTTCTCTGCATCTTGAGTTTAAAAAATCCTGTGAGTTGCAACTTCAAAGTCTGCTCAGAGCCTGCAATCCCCACCTCCTCTGCACCCCCGCTTCCAGTCACTGGCTTTCCCCCAGAAATGGCATTGTGCTGCCCAAAGGTTCACTCTGTCCCCTCCCTTCTTCCACCCCCACACTCTAACCGTCCTCCAGAATGAAGCACGTTGAATCCCCCAGGCCACCTCTCCTTCACTCCAGGTGAAAACAGTCATGGTCTTTCTCCAAACGCTGTCCCCACTGTTCTGCCTCTGTCCTGAGTTCCACCTCCTGCAGGCCTCTCTGCTCATTCCTCTCCAACCACATTCCTCATTCTAGCCCTGCAGGCTCACGTCTCTGGATCTTCGTAAAGGATCTGCCCTTCCCTGGCGAGCTGATCCCACAGAAACTGTGGCTTCTTTTCCTACCTTGACAAGTCTTTGCTGATCCTACTTCTCCTCAAGGGAATTCCATCTCAGTTACCTAAACCACAGCATCCTGAGTCATGTGAGCACACCCTCCAACACACTTAGGGCTTCTTCTCTAGCCTGGACAGTGTGGTCCACCGTGCGCATTTCTCAGTTGTTAATTGTTTAGATGATCTGCCTCTACACCCACCTAAAACAGCTTCCTAAATTATGGATATTTTGGGTGTTTTTATTCCCTGATATAACCCCAATTCCCAGGATCTCAGTAAATATTTCTTTACCACATGACTGTTAGAGTAAATTCAATTGCATGTAATTATATTTCAGTGACAGATGATGTTTCAAAACGAGTCTTTCACTGTAGATGATTCATTATGCCACTTGCAGAGCATTTAGGCACTGTCAGGACTCCTTAGACTCTACCCACTCTGTCCCCTTTTATCACCCCAGTGATTGCTGTTGTAGATTCCGTTTTGGGGGATCCAGTGTCCTAAGGGAGAGAAGGGGATTGGTTACCTGTCCTAGTTTGCCTTCTCTGTTGCTATATAAACACAGGACAAAATGGTTTATTTTACCTCATAGCTCACAGTACTAAGGAAAGCCAAGGTAAGAACCTAGAGTCAGGAACTGAAGAGGAACAACACTACTTACTGGATTACTCTCCCTGGCTCGCGCAGCTACCCTTCTTATACAGCTCAGGCCCACCTGCCCAGAGATGGCACCACCCACAGTGGGCCGGGTCCTCCTACATCCATTAGCAATTGAGAAATGCCTCACGGAGACGACGCCCACTGGTCAGTCCGATGGAGGAAATTCCTCATTTGAGGTTCCCCCTTCTCAGGGTCTTTAGTTTGTGTCAAACTGACAAAAACTAAGCAGCATGTTATCTGAGACCCCTTGCACAACGCAGAGATAAGCAATAAGTTCGTATCACTGAGCGGTGAGCACCTTTATGTGACACTATGCTGATCTCCACTTAGATGAGCTCCTAGCTTCGCTCCACTGAGAATTACCACCAAGTGCATTATTAAACTTCACGAAGCTTTGGAATGAGTAACACACACAGCACACCCAGCCAAGCACACATGCTCATGAGACTCCTAAGAGTTTAAAATTTTTTATTTATGTGCATGTGTGTGTTTGAGTTTATGTGCACTGTGTGTTAAAGAGACCACAGAGGCTAGAAAAAGACACTGGATCTTCTGGAACTGGAGTTACAGATGGTTGTTAGCCACTGCAATATACTGGGAACAAAACCTGGGTCCTCTGCAAGAACAGCAGGTTCTCTTAACTGCTGAGCCACCCCTCCAGCCTCCACTTATGAGAATCTTAAATCATCGCTTAGCAATGCTGTTTGGAAATATAAGTTAGAGCTTTTAATATTGTTTCTAGTTTACGCATAACCAGAGAGTCAGCTTTGGGGACTATTCATTCTGTGGCAAGGCTGTACTAAGTACTTTCCAAATGTCCCTTACAGAAAGCTACAATTGTTCTTTTTTACAACCAAAATGGAAAACACACAGGAACTTTGACTTTGTCCTGAGGGACAGAGTTGGGATTTGATTTGAGGTCATAATTTAAGTAGGGACTGACTTTGGGATCAGACTCCTAAGAGAACGAGAAAAGGCCCAAGGCTTCGTTTTCAGAAAGGAGGACAGCAACAACACAACCCTGTCAGAATCCTTGCCAAAATTCTTCTCACACACCTTTGGATCCTCTGTCAGGTGTCCAACCAAGGCCAGTGGGCCTCATGTGGCCAAGGACCGCTATGAATGTGTTCCAACACAAAAATCATAAACTTACTTAAATATTATGAGATTTCCTTGGCAAACTCTTGTAACTTGACAGCGAGATTCTCAAGCAAGAGGTTTGCAGATGGCATCTGACATCATACAGTACCGGGGAGTCAAAAGGCTGGACACATAGGCAATACGGTTACAGACTAATGACTTAGGTAAGGCTGAAAGACCACTGTGAGTTCAGCCAGCTTGAGCCATACTACCATGTGAAATCTTATCTCAACAACAAAACAAAACAAGGGGGCAGGAGGATGGCTCAGCTGGTAAAGTGCTTGCTGTGCAAACACGAAGACCTGAGTTCTAATTCCCGGAACTCAAGTAAATATCTGGGCGTGTGCTGTGGAAAATCTTGTGACTGATTTTGCCTTTTGCCTTCATACCTATCATGCTGGAATGCATTCCTTCTAATGGGGTATCTGGCCCGCTGGAGTGTAATAGGATACTAGTCTGCCATGCTAATAAGGGATCCCATATGTTGTGCTGTGATTGGACTATTACCCTTATATAAGCCTGTACTTTCTTGCAATAAAGCAGATCTGTGTCACTGAACCTGGTCTCCTGTGCCTGAATGGGGTGACACTGGCGCAGACTCCTCACCAGCCCTGGGGTCCAGACCTGATGACTGATCAGAGGAACTGAGAGAGCAGGAGAGCGGCCATAGCCGGAGGAGAGCAGCCACAGCCGGCGACCACAGGCGTGAAGGCACATGCCTTGTATTCCCACCACTAGAAAGCAGAGAAGGGAAGCTCCCTGGAGCTTGACTATCAGCTAATCGGGCCAAATCAACAAGCTGCAATTTCAGTGGGAGGCCCTGTCCCAAAATATAAGGTACAGACCAGTTGAAGACACGTCCACATTGACCTCTGGCCTCCACAGGCATGTACATACATAGGAACATGTACACACACATACATGCACCATACACTCACACACATCACATCACACCACAAAGGGAAGGTCTTCACACAGTGCACTGAGCTAGTCCCTGGCATAGTTCCCATAGCTTACTCTGAGCCCTTATATACTGCTCTTTCTCCTTTACCAACCTTTACATTTAGACAAACTGAGGTTTGGCCAAGGCTTGGCAGTATGTCCTTCCATCAGTGACGAACAAAAAGTAAAACAAAACAAATCTGCCATCAGTCCCATCGCATACTTCATTTATTTTTGTTGTTGCACGAGAAAATCCACATTACATATTTCTGTGTAGTTCTTCCCAGAATTCAAATTATGATAAAAATAAGAACAACCAAATCAGGGACTAGGGAGAGGACTCAGGGGTGAACAGCACTGGCTGCTTCTGTAGAGGACCCAGGTTTGGTTCACAGCCACCTGAAGCCCTCATGCCAGGAGACTGGTTGCCTCTTCCAGCTTCAGTAAGTACCTCATGCCTGTGGAGCACTTACATACTTGTAGGCAACACACACACATAAAATTATATATACAACCAAACCAGAAAACAGGTTTCTCAGAGTGGTTCCTTTAGGTGTGACTCCAAGGTGGAAATGTATCATCTTCAAATGCACTGTGGCACGGAAACTAATTCACTACACTGTTTCGTTTTGTTTTGTTTTGTTTCTTGGAGAGACCAGCTCTCAGTTAGAATTCACTTATTTTGGCAGTTTGCCTATCACTTAGAATGGATTAGCTGAATCTCAGAAACTTCTCTAAAAGAGAAGGCTTCCATTCTCCTTACTTTCAAATATTCATAAGAGAATGAATCTTGAACATTCTCCAGGCAACTAGACATACCCCCTGGAACCTATGAAATACAGTTTAGGCTTCACCAAACAGAGGCCCTGCCTCTGCTCAAGACATCTTATTTTTAATACACCTCTGCCAGCTGTGGAGGAGCCAGCTTCCTTCCTCCCCTCCCCTGACACAGGGAAAGGTAATAAACAGAGTCCATTAGCTCACATGGAAAATTTGAGTCCATTTAGACCTGACATTTCCTTTGAAGAAACGTGCTAGGGGCACATCTTTTCTAGAAGGTTGAGTTGGGCTGGGTATCTGGCAGAACCCTGTAGAACATATTTACACATAAAGG